AAAAAAAAAAAGAGAGATATAAGAAGTAACAAATATGTATATAGATATATGCAAGTACAGAACCTGTCCGTAGTAATTTATGCCAATATAGTCCAATTTTTCGGAAATACTATCCATAAATGGAAACAAGGTCAACGAATTAGCTACTGACACGGCAGCAATGTCGAACAGACCATGCGGCCGCATAAACGAGACGTGGTGTGCAACTCCAACAATTGCACTTAAGGTTGCACTGAGAAAACCAAAATATCAAGCGAGTTAATCAACTCCCTTATTCATAAATAAACAGAATAACTATAAAGGCATACCCTTAGGTTTCACCTAGTTAGTAAAAAAAGTAGAACCAAACAAAGAAAAACCCAAGATGTGTTATACTAAAAATAATCCAAAAATTAATCACATCGTATGATAGGGCCTTATTCAATCCACATTAAATGCAAAATAAGGAAAATGAACCTTTTCTCATGGATGTAATCGTAGGCCTTGGAGTGAGCTATTGCCATCCAGTGCATGGCCTGGTTATATACGCCAGTAGGCAGCGCTGACGTGGCGGCCTCAAGCAAGTCGGGGTTCCCACCTGGCCAAGCACCAGCACAGTATGTCAACATACAAAACACGTGAGGCTCATTGAATGTTACCCAGTAGTCCACCAGCTCTGATACAGTGTCCACAACCACTCTGCAGAAAAAAAATTAAAAAAAAAAATAAATAAAGGGTCGAGGATGATTTCCACAGAGAAGACTTTAATATCACATGTTTTATGTATGAGAAAAAATTCAGTGTGAAAACTAAACCTTTAATTCTGATTAGTTTATTCAAAGATGAAATTACAGAAAGCCAATAATTGAGTCAGTAAGCAACGTCGAACCTAGTGAATTCCATAAAGTAATCAACAGTCTTCTCGAGCTTCCAACCACCATACTCAGCCGCCCATGGCGGCAAAGAATGATGGAACAGTGTTAGCATCACTTTCATGCCGTAGGAATGAACTCTGTTTATGATCCACTTATACCTCTCCAAAGCAGCAAAATTGGTCTAAAACGAGTAAACACACAATTCTCATTATGTGGTATAGATATACACACAATTGTATGGCATTGATGGTAACCACAAATGTATAATCTTATATCTGAAGTTTTCAAAGTGATTCCTTGGCATGGCATACACCTTTGAAGATGTGCATGGAAATTACACAACGGCTCATCCCAATGGAGATATTTAACTTTTAAGGCCTAGTCAAGATATTACAACATAAAAGAAATGCCGTGTTCTATTTGTGCATGCTTACAGTTGCTTTAAAACCATTCACGGGCTCCACCGGCATGATTCTTGTCCAATCTATTCCCATCCGAAAGACTTGTATGCCCGTATCTTTAGCCAATTTCAGCTCTGTATCAGGATCCGACCAAAATCTCAACCGCTCCTCCCTGAAAATGAGGGGCAATATATTTTTTCTCTCAGATTATTTCAAATTTTAACCAACACTACCGGAGGATTTTAGAGCATGTTTGTTTATGAAATTTTTTGAGTTTGTTTGGATTTTTTAGTTTGGTTTGGTTAATTTTGAAAATGTGGTATGGTTAGTTGTTAGTGGGTATATTAAAATAATATTTAAAATAAAATAATTAAAATTGGTTTGATATAAAAGTATGAGAGAGAAGATGTGATGTGATGGTTAGTTAAAATAATGTGAGTGGATGAATAGTGAATTAAGGTTGATGTGGTGTGTATAAATGATTGATTTATATTATTTAATTATATTGATAATATTGATGATAGTGGGGGTTGAGTTAAAGTTGAGTTAAAAAAAGTAGTTGAGTTAAAATGTTGAAAGTTTTTTGAAAAATCTTATAAACAAACATGCTCTTAGTATTTACAAAAACGTTAAAAAAGTGATGATCCATACAAGTTTCTAGATCACAGCGAAAAATAGGGGGTGAAACTTCGTCTTACAGTTCCAGCTTCATTAGATATAGATATTTCCTTTCATTCATAAAAGTATCTACGGCATAACCAAACGTCACAACATCAATTGTGTACTTTCAGATATTCTAGGGATATTTTCTTAATAACCCAACCAGAAGTGTAGTTACTGTAATTATCCATTTTCAACACAAAAGAAGAAAATCGCAACTCGAAAGTCCAAACCCAATGAGTTTAAAACACAAAATTATTGCACCCTTCTCAACTCATTCCAAACAAGGCGATAAAAAGAAAAAAGAACAAAAAAAAAAAATTGCCATCATTCACAAATTGCATTACGAAAAAAGGTAAAAGATTCTCTTACGGATGTGGGACGTTATGCCATGACGCGACTGTGTGGTGGCACCCCTCGCCCGACTCAGGCCCTTCAATGTCTTCATACTTCTCGAATCCACGAATACTTGCTTCCATGGCCAGTCTCAGCTTCTTCTTCCTCTTCATGCTCCTGCTGGTTTCGCTATCGAGTAGTGGGCCACGCTGCGCCCCACCGTCCGCCGAGGCCGAGCCCAAAACTGCATCCGCAGGCTCCGTGCCAGCCTTCTGCGATTCGGGCTGATCACACGGGTTCTCCTCTGCAAATTGGAGCCAGGCATCATTGAGCCTATCCTCCACATGGGCCGGTGCTGTTGCTAACCCGAAAAAGAAACCTTTTTCCCCTTCTAATTGAAAATTAGTGCAACATATTAGACTGAATTCACAAATTTGCTTCTGGATGTTACAGATACCGCATAATATCTGTTTCTTTTTTGTCCTAATTTGAAAAAGAAACCACTTACCCCTTCCAAATGAAAAATGATGCAAGATTAGTTACATGGGATCCACAAAATCATATAATTTGTGGGTTTTTTTTTTTTTCCCATGATACCTCACTGTATTAATCAAAATTATACCCTCTCAGCAGTATTAACAAAAGAGCAACTAAAATGAAAACATGCAGACCAACTAACCAAGCTAACAAGATTACTAGGAACAAAATACAGTCTTATTGTTACCCATATTCATATTTCAGTTCCCAAGTCTTCTAACAATACCTGAATCGTTTGAAGAAACTATGGTATTACTTAAACAAACTGACCTAAAATGGCTATTTTCGAGTTAGGGATTTAGTGGCAGCAATAAACACGACATTGAACGATCAATTAATCTAATGGGGAAATAGATGAAGCTTACCGGAGGTGGGATTAATGTTGAATTCAGCGAGAACATCGGCGGACTCGTCGATTGGGGATTCGAAGGGTGCTAAGCTTTTCCGCTTGAAGCGGGAGAAGGAGAAAGCGTTGGCGACGACGGTGACGGAGACAAGGGCTCCGGCCAGTTTCGTCGCCGTCACTAATAGCGCCGGCAGTGTCATACTTTTGTTTGAATATTTTTCCGTTCGGAAAATGGATTTTGTTGCGGTTACGGTAGTAGCGTTGCCGATAACGGGACACGTGTACAACGGTGAAAGATACTAAAAGCATGTTCAATGTTCAAATGTTGTGGTAAATTATATTTTACGTCAATATATTTAGTTTTTCGTCCTCCAATGCACAATGTAATCACAAATGTTGTGATAATATGGACACAATTAATGTCTATAATATAAAAAAGAATGTGGTTCAGATCATCATAAATGCTTAAATGTTGTTGTAGTAAATTACACTCGACATTAACATATTTAGCAATTCAACCACTTCTAATCCTCCAATGTACAATGTTATTATAAATGTAGTTATGAGGTGGACATAACTAATGTCCACAATGTAGAGATGAATGTGGTTCATCCACATTCTCATTCACATTCTACTTGACCAATGGAGAGATGTGGGAGAAATATTATTACTATTTTTAAAATATTTAATTATTTAATTCTTTTTCTCTTATATCTATAATTTTTTTTTTTATTTTGGTCAAGTGGACAATAATGTGTTTGATTATATTGTCCATTGGAGACAAATTTTTAAAATTAAAGTTGTGAACCTAATAATTATCTTATGTGGTTCACAATCTATCTAATTAATCGACATTTGTCAAATATTATGTAATAACAACAATTATGCATTGCAGATGCTCTTATCTACCTTTTTCTCCACACTCTAACTAGCCAATAAAGAGAAGAGAGACAACTAGTCTTACCAATTCTAAATTATTTAATTAATTTTCTTACTACATATTATCAAAATTTATATTTGGTAAGTAGAGTAATTAGACTACATTGTGCACTGGAGATAATTTTTTAATTTCATAGTTGTAAACATACATTTTTCCTACATGGTTCACAATCCATTTAATATATTGACATTTATCAAAATTTATTCTACAACCACATTAAAGCATTGGAGATGAGATTGTGAGGAACGTGGTATAACACTTGTCACGATTTAATTTCGGTCGGAGCTTTTCTTCGTACTCGTGAATTTACCCATATTGCTAATTATTCGAACTTTTAATAGATATAAAAGTCAACAATGTAAGTATAAATGATAAGGGTGTGATTGAATACATGGATTTGATAGGTTTTTTTCTTCTTCTTTTTTTTTTTTTCAAACGATTGGAGATCTCATAAAACGAATAAAAGAGTACATCTAATCCGAGGAGCTCACTAGCTCATACAAATAATACACAACCAGAGAACCACTCCAATGGTGGCCTTAAAAACACGAACACAACAAGCAACTATAGGCCAATACAATGATTTGGATCCTTTAGTGAAATATCCGCAACACCCATATCACTAAAACACAAACAATCCAAACCAACACACAAGAGGCCACTGAACATAAGAACCTAGCCTCTAAACATAAACAAAATTAACAAACACCTAGCTGCTGGAATTCACACGATTCCCTGAGGGCCGAAAGGACAATAATGTTCTCCAGCATCCAAATTTTTTGGAACACCCAGAGATTTCGCGACTTTCAAAGCCACTAGAGAATATACATTGATATTTGTATCACGGCTTCAAAAACCGGAGATATATCCAATTCAGCAACCCACCACCACCACCTTCTGAAATCAGTTACAACAGCTTCTAGCACATCTGTTGTAAATATTTTTAACCGGAGTAGAATCCAAAGATTCGACACCGGGTCGTATC